CGGTACTTATACCGGTGGGCAATGGTCTGGCCTCAATGCTGTGAGGCCAGGCCAGACCCTGAACCGTCCAGATGGACGGTTCAGCCTCAATCGGCAGGCGGCAGCTTCAAGAGCGCCGCCAGGCCCAAACGAAGTGTCGTTTGGGCCTACCCGATGGGTGATAGTCCAAAATCAGGCCTTTAGGGCCTGTAAACCCCAAAGGTCGGGCCTTTAGGCCCTGGTGTGTCCCTCCGGCCCTAAGTCGGGTCCGGTAGGACCCGTGTGAGTCGAAGATGTAACAAATGTCTCCCCTGTGGGCATAGGCGCCAGTCTGCAAGGTCCTTCACAAGCCTCAAATAGTGTGCGTGATCAGCAGCAGCAGGAACAGGCAGAAACAGGGATAGGTCTGGAACAAATCCAAACTCTGTCATCCATAACAGAGGACACCAGACCAGTGTCTACCGAATCACACGAGCGGTTCCAAACCTCTGACCACACACGCCATCAGGAGCACGTGAGATGTTTGGTGACTCCCGGGTAGACTGTGAGGACCCCGGCCTCAAATTTTCATATTGGAAATATCAGCCTTGGGCACTGGGGCCCTTTTTCAAAAAAAAAAAAAAAAAAAAAAAAAAACGGGAGCACGCTCAATCATTGCGGAAGGAAGGATCTAGCCCAGCCTCCTAACCCAGACCCAACGCTGAGGCAACCAGTCCTGAGATGAATAGGGGACGTTGGCCCTCATGAGAAGGTTGACAGGGCCCATCCGGCTTTGAAAGAGGAGCCCGAGACCCTACAACTATCAGAAGTCCAAAATTAGAGTATCACCTCAGAACTGGGAAAGCAATAGCTTTTCCTTGGGCCGAAGAATGGAAAGGAACAGTTAGTGGGGTCTCTCCCCATGATACCAGTATCCCTGTTGGCAGCGAATCAGAACATGGTCTGCAACACATCCTCGATGCCTAACATAGGTGGGAACCTCATGGTGCTGACAGGAGGTGAACAAGCCAAATCATGGCAGACTTCCGACCAGTAAATAGGTGGGTATGGATTTGGCTTGTGCACCTCCTGTCAGTTTCACATATGTTAGGCATTGAAGATGTTGACACAGATGTGTTGCAGACCATGTTTGGATTCGCTACCAAGGGTGATGCTGGTATCATAGGGAAGACCCCTCTAACTGTTCCTTTCCTTTTTTCAGCCCAAGGAAAAACTATGGCTTTCCCAGTTGGGCCAATTCTGTGCCAATACTCTTATGTTGTAATTCTGATAGCTGTAGGATCACCGGCTCCTCTTTCAAACCCAGAAGGGGCCAGTTCCCCTATTCCTCTCAGAGCCTGGTGCCTCAGCATTGGGTCTGGGTTAGAGGACAATGCCAGCCATAGCTGGGTGTCGGAAGCTGGGTGGTGGAGTGTGGAATCATCGAAGAAGGAAGGCAGTGGGGACTGGCGGTTCTTACCTGGTGTTGGTGAGGAAAGCCTGTATGAGCAGAGTCTTCAAAGTTCAAACAGCATTGAGTGAGTGACACACGGACAGAGAGTTGGCATGTAGATAGGCTAGCATGGTAGAGGTAGTAGGAAGTACATCGTTGTTGTTTTGATAGGCGGATGACAGACTTTCTTTATCAAGAGACTTTGGTGCAGTGTTTGCTCCTAATTGGTGTGCATTTCTCTTTGGTTCTCTGCTTTCAACTCCGCTCTATCATGTTTGGTCTTTTGTGAGATTTTGCAATCCTACACCTTAAGCGGCATTGGCCGTGGGGGGAGGGGGGGATGGTCTGCTGCGAGCCAGGAGGAGTTGTGAGATTTGGTGTAGCCCGTTGGATAAGAAGGATCGGGCGGGGTGCCTTCCTAGTGGTTTTCTTACCAGAATGTTCACAGCGCGCCTTTGAGATCAGAGATCATAATCTGGCCGTCCATTGAAAGATCGAAACAAATATCTTGCAAGCTTGATCCTTCGATTGTAAACACAAACTGTTGTGAAGACTAACGAGGAAAAAAGAAAAAAGAAAACCCACGAACTGCAAAAGAAAAGAAGGTGATGTGTATCTGAACTGTATTCATGTTCAGAAGCATTGTTTTCATTTTTGTTTTTTTTTTTGGCTTTTGAAACAACTGCAAGGGAAATGAGCAATTGTGAAATGACAGAAATCCACAATGCAAAATCACATTGAAAGCCAGAAAGTCCACTGCTGTCCAGAAAGCAGAAATGCACTGATATTCCACCAACGGAGAACCAAAGCACCAAATCCGAATGTCAAGGAGAGCATACTCTACCCACTACCAACATATGTATCAAGAGCCCTTCCTCCTACTTGGCGCTCAGCGCCCAGACTACGATCACACACCTACTACCAGCCTATGAATTGACAATTCAACCTGTTGACGTCAGCAGCAACAACCGAAGTACATGAAGATGTCGACCGTGTAGACCATCGACAAGACCAGGTGCGTGCCCTCAAATCATCATACTCATCTCTCTCTCTCTCTCTCTCTCTCTCTCTCTCTCTCTCTCTCTCTCTCTCTCTCGGACTCCCTCTCTTTCTCTCTC